ACTAAGGTGATAAGCTGTTTCTGAGCCTGAGGACTAAGTGTAACACATGTGAACTTCTCCTTACAGTGCCCGGGCTGAGTGCAGACTTTGTGGTTGGTTCAGATGTGATCCCTTCTGTGAACTGAGAGCACTAGCTGTCTTCTTCTGCTCTTACATAAAGTGTTTGTTGGACACTCACTCTTGGGTATTTCATTGCTTCTCTGGAGACATGCATATGAGACACCAGCAAGACATTTTCTGAATGTACCCAGGCCCACTCTGACCCTTTCCTATCCTTTTTCCAGTGTCACCGCAAAAATCAAAGCCATTGAAGCAAAGCTGAAAATGATGGCCGAAAACCCTGATGCTGAATATCCCGCAGCACCTGTTTATTCCTACTTTAAGCCATCAGATAAAAAAAGGACTACTCCTTATTCCAGAACAGCGTGGAAAGCTCGAAGATGATGCTTGTGAATTTCTGGGGCATCAGAAGCAAATGGGTTTCCGCACCTGACATCCTCTGTCTTTGTCCTTTCTAGATGTGAATGGTATAGCCACCAGAGCACAATCACACGTTAGCGGTTGATACGTAACATTTTTGAATTTTATTATGGATGTTTCTTCCCTGAAGCCTGTGTGGAATTGAGCATCATCCAGAATAAATTCGATTGTATCCAAAATTGTGAACTGCACGCTGGGCTGCTCTAACTGGCTGGTTTGTTGAGCTTCGTAGCTCCAGGACCGTAGAGTGCGCCAGAGAGAGTGCAGAGCACAGACACTGTTACTATTCAATCATGAAACTAAACTCACTACTGTCCTGCTTTTGAAAAGTGAAAACCTGGTCGTTTTCCTGTGTGCTAGGGTCTTTAGGACATAAAGGCAAAGAGACAGGGTGGAAAACAAGTGATTTTAAATTATGTTCCAAACTGTTGTTTCAATATTTGCCATAGAAATGCCTCCAAAAAATAGAAAGTTCTTGGCACAAAGGAGCTGATTGTTGAGCAAATGCGGTCATCTGTTTAAGGACCCTGCTTGTCCTTTCAGAATCCCAAGTAGGAAAATGTGCTGTATATCTCAACATTGTTGCCGTCGATAAATGTTTCCAAGCAAATTCAGCTTTTTATACCACAACAGAAGTTCCATTTGGAAGTACGACTTTTCTCTATAGTGATTTTTTTAATCTAAATAATCCTACCTTCTATAACACCAAATGTTGCTATGACATGGGACTTTTAAATTGCACTTACTGCATGAGGTGGTTTTTGTAGCATGAGGATGTTCTATTTGGAATCGTATCCTGGTCAATCTGAATAGAAAAGCAAGGTTTCTTTGAAAATGTAGAAGTTGCTATATGGCTAGCTCTCAAATGTATCATTTCCTAGTACTTGTGGGGGGGTCTGAGGCCGTACTGTCTTGTGAGGGGTGGGGGGTGGGGAACCTACCGTGGGTACACGGAGCCAGTGGAGCAGGCACTACTCAAGCACCAAGATCGTCATGGCTCGTGATGGCTGCCCGTCAGAGGCTTTGTGGACTCGGGTCTTGAGAATGAGGCTTTGTTTATAGAACATATTTAGTTCATCCTAGATTTTTTTTTTTTTGCCTCTTTGAACATTGTAACAATACAGAGAGAGGAGGCCTTTGAGATGTTCTTCAGTCAGCACAGGTGTGGTCATTTTGGTGCCGAGTGGCCTGCCTCATGGGGCAGCACCATTGTCCCTTGTCCTTAGCAGGTGAATCACGGCTACTCCTGCTGCCGTACTTGGTGGTTACAGACTGTTTACTACCATGGTTCACAGTGTTCATTATAGGAACGTCAGTCTTCCTGTGAGCAGAAGGAGTTGAAGACACTTGAGTCTACACTCAAGCATATCGATGTTTCAGAACCCACACACTGTCTCAGAGACGGTCTTGCCACTTTCCCCTGGGTCTCTCTGAATAGCATAGCAAATACTTTCTGCCTTGATTAGCTGTGTCTGTAATGTAAGTAGCTCTCTCTCCACTTGGGGAATGGTCCAGGGAAATGGGATTACTAGCTCCCATTTTTCCCGTGACTTTTTTGAGTATAGAATTCACCATGTTATCCTTCAGCCCTCAAAGGATGATGGTGGAGTAGGTTTTACTTAATGCCAAATAGTCTTCTATTTTTAATAGGAATTTAGAAAAAAAACCTTTGAATTATAAAGAGTTGTTTTCTTTAGAAACCAGATCTATTTATTTGTATTTAAAGTATTGTTTATTATTTGTACCGATTCTTATTCCTCTGTGTGAATAAATGCAAGAAAGTGTTTCTGTGGTTGTGTCTTCTCTCAGGCATCTACTGGAATGAAGATTGCAGCTCTGAAGGTATGTTCCCGCTTAGAACTGGGCTAGTGTGTCCAGGCAGGCGGGATACTGCTTCTAGATATACTGCGAGCCGTGACTCCCGGTGAAAGGCAGCCCCAGGAGCCATCCTGCTACTCTCCGCCCATTGTGCTCACCTCCTTTTGTTGTTAAGTGAGGAGACTAGGGCTTTTCATTATAAGTGAAACTATTTGAAGTGTCCATAAAAGTCCCAGTGAGTTCTATGCCATGTTGATTCCCTCTTTCCAAGTACAGATTTCAAAGGAAAAAACAAGTGGGTCCTCACAGCAGTCAGGGAAAGTGCTTGTAAAAAACAAGTTAAGTGTTGGTAATCTGTACTTTGGGTAAAGTTATTCTTTGGTTTGTCATTTTGTTAAGATTGTGTTACTTACGGTTCTGAATTTTACTCGGGTATAAATTGTAAGGAGCATATTCGGGAGAGAGGATGAATTATCTCCTTAACCTGAGCTCCTGTTTTCTCAGATGTAAAACCATTGAACTGACTGATTTTTGTAACTGGCATCTCAATGCTGGGAAGAGGAAAGATTTTTTTCACAGCTTGTCAGAAGTCACAGCAAAAGCGGAAACCAGTATTCTGGCGTTCTGTCTTGTTTATTATGATGTATACATTAATTTCTGAATTTCCAGATGTATTTGTGATGTGTTTTACATGGCTATAAAGGAACAGGATTAATTCTTACCTTATAAATGAAATATTAAAAAGCTCCCATGTGCAATCACTACATTCTTAAAAGGGGACGGGTTCCCATGATAGCCATCCCTGGTTTCTCCCATTTCTCATCAGTCAGCTCGCCTTCAAAAAACCCAAACCCGAACAACTTCTCAGCTCTTCTAAGTTGCCCTCACCTTTTACCAGACTTGCAGTACCCTCGGATGGTGTCCCTGCTCCCTCCATTCCCTGCATCTAGTCCATTTTCCACACAGTAGCCAAAGTGGCCCTTTGAAAATGGGAACATGTCATTCTGTTGTCAGTGGCTCTCCATCATATCTAGACCCAAACCAATGGCCTCTCTTTTTGCTCACCCTCCTACCACACTGGCCTCATCCTTTGGATGCAGGGAATCCTTTGTACACTGTTCTATCCCCAACATTTTAAACGTATTCTATATCATACATGCTGAATATTCGTTCAATGAAAAAGCATGGTATATGAGAGCTGAAGGACCTGGAGAGCTTACCCCCTGTATAGCAGAAGAAAAAAGTAGAAACCCGGAGAGAGTCACTGTATTAGCCAGGTTAACTAGAGAAACAAATCCAGGGCCACACAGATGTATAAGGAAGAGCTTTATATATCAAGAGCAATTACAGATTGAGAAAAATCCCAGCCCAGATTCAGGTCCTTAAGTCCGGATATTAGCACATATGCCTGTTACTGGTCCATAAACTCGTCTTCAGACTCACACAGCACATGCAATGAGGCCGAATGCAGGAAGAATACAGGCCGGTGGGTGAAGAGTCCTGTGGATCCAGTGGCAGCAGAAGCATCTCCATGCTGGCGTGATGCTCCTCCAGCTCTGAGTGTGTCTCCTCAACAGGAAGGTGAGGCAGAGTGTGTGGCCCAGCTCCAGGGAGGAGAGGAAGTTCCCAGAAGCCTTGAGCAGGCCATGCCCACAAGGAGGCATCATCAGGATTTATGACGTTGACATGAAATTATGTAACAAACACACTGACTTGGCCAGAATCGCATGGCAGGGAGTGGGGGGCAGGGGAGGAAAGGCCTAGGAAAAACCCAGACTGCAGCCTCTTAGTTCAGTGTGCTTTTAACCATGTGTTGTTGGCAAACCAGCCTGTGCCTCTTCTACAGCTCACAAGCTAAGAATGATCTTTACACGCCACGTGAAAATTATATAAAATCAAATTTCAGAGTCCATAAGTTTGATTGCAGCATAGCCATGCCCATTGGTTTACATAATGTCAAAAGCTACTGTCCCTTACCAACACCCTGCTGCTATATAAGGTGGCTTCCAAAAGTTCATGGAAAAATCCAATTATCTTTTAGCTGGTTTTTTTCCCCCAACAATCTTTTTGAAGCCCCTCATAACAGGTAAATAGTTACAGCAATGCCCCAAATATTTACTATCTGACCCTTCATCGAAACAGTTTGCTGATCCCTAAACTATAAGGGTAATTTAGATTTGCTACAAAATCCTAGAAACCTTTATTGAACAAAAAAGCAAGCCATGAAATGATTTCTCAACATTGCCTCCATCTGGGTCAACATGCTTTCCCCTCATTATTATTCAGTGATTCAAAAGGTAGTGCAGGGTAATGGACTCTAGGGTCCGGTTCTGTCTACATCGCAGCTGTGCTGCCTACTGGCTGTGCAACCTTGGGCAGCTTGCCCTGTGTGTACCTGCATGTCTTTAGGGACAAAAACCTACTTTATAATGTGGTTTTCATTCCTACCAAAATTATTTTTGCCTACTATCTGACAAGCACTAAGGTGATAAGCTGTTTCTGAGCCTGAGGACTAAGTGTAACACATGTGAACTTCTCTAGTCCAGTGATTCTCGACCTTCCTAATGCCACGACCCTTTAATACAGTTCCTCGTGTGGTGGTGACCCCCAACCATAACATTATTTTCCTTGCTACTTCATCACTACTTTCCTTTGCTACTTGAATCGGGCGACCCCCGTGAAAGGGTCGCAACTCACCACTTAGAGTCTAAGCCTCCCTGAAGAATTCGTGATTTTCAATTTATACCACGTCAAACTGGCAATTTTAGGACCCTCAAGGGACACATCATCGTTCTTTTGAAAGTTCTAGGAATTGGGGGAACAAACAAACGTTTAAATTGTCAAAACCAGGGCTGTAGGATAGATGGGGTAAGGTTTTCTGATGGCATTTCTCATAGGTTCACTCTTGTTCCCCGTGGAGAAGGAGTGGGTGCCTGGTTACAGTGAGGAGGATTCTCTCAGTGCAACTTTTCCTGGCCTTTTTCTCATTGATGCACTTTTCCATTCTCTTAAAATTTCTTCCTAATAAGACCCCTATTTCCTTCAGGAAAATATATCAAGACAAACCCCTTTGGAATCCCAAGAATTCATCACCACAGCCTGAGCTGACCTCTGCCTTCAATGACCTGGCCCAGCAGATTCCCTCAGAAACCACTGCTTGGATTGGACCTTCTTTCTTGAAAGCAACTTAATGAGACTAAACCGAGTTTATGACACCTGTCTGCAACGATCCACTGATCACAGCAATGTGTTGAAATGTTGTTTTAAATAAACCCTTACATGTTGGACTGAGTTAGGTAGGGATTACATCTTAGATCATGTTTGTATTCAACAACTTAACCAAACTCCCCAGTAGCTTACCCTG